ACACACACACACACACACACACACACACACACACACACACACACACACACACACACACACACACACACACACACACACTTTATTGCCACGTGCCTCTCATTTAAGACGAATGGTCAGCTCTCTCCGTTCCCTCTTCATGCAGATGTGGCGGTTTAGCTTCGATTCCTCACTCGCAGTGAAACGAGCTCCTGTAATGTGCAGACATTAGCCTAAATGGTTCCTGGTGTCCCTTATCAGTGGAGAGCTCCCATTTGGGGCCCCGTGGCAGGTAATTCTCCTTTTGACAGTGCAATTGAACCGGCCAGCACTGAAGGGCTATTTGGCAATGAGCCATTTAGTGTAAGTGCTCTCAAGGCCGGCGAATGACACTTGTAGAGACAATGTCACCCCCACTGACACCATCAGCTGATTGTGTATTGAACAGAATGGAGGAGCGATGCCTCCGGCCACACATATGCAGCGTTATTAGCAGGGTGAAGTCCAAGGCGGGCGTCCAGGGAACAACGTCCTGTGGACACCCGGTGCCAAGGACACCTGACAGGCCGGGGGGGGGGGGGGGCTTTCAACCGGCTCACTTCATAAGGTGCTGCATGACATAGTCTACAGAAACTTCTCTCAGAAAAGCAGATTTCACAAAACTGTATTAGGTTAGTTGAAAGCAATAATATTAAGTTGAACCCAATATTATTTATTTAAACTTTCAATGAACCCAATACAGATGTTAAATCTGTTGACATAATACATTTAATTAAAGTCAAGGTTTCAGTGTACAAATATAGAATGTTCCGCCTCCACTTTGTTTGAGGCTGGGTTTCTCTAAAAGCTTTGTTTCTGTTCCTCTGATGTCCACCACTTAGCTGTATGTGCAAACCAGTTTAAGGTTCAGGAGCTCTTTTCTTGAGTTATTTCAGGTACATCACCATGCCATGCTGTGTACTAATTGCCCAAAGGAATTGTATGTATGAATTCACTCGCTTAACTAGAATAATATTACCATGACTGAAATACACCTCGCATCAAAAGAAACAGGAGGACTTTTTTCTTTTAAGTACTTTTTGAAATGAGCTAGCACAGCTTCCAAAAAACCCACACTACTGAACACATTGTATACCGGCTGTTGAAGTTGCAAACAAACAGATACTTCAAATTGAATTTTGAAGAATCTTGGCCATATACAGAATAGTTTGTTATTCCTTCTATCAGTCTTTATGCTAAGCTAGGCTAACTACCTCTTGCCTGCAGCTCCTTAACGTTCAGACATGAGAGTTTCTTATCTCACTTTGGGAACATAAGCAAAGTGTATTTCCTAAATTGTTGAACTAATGAGTAGCACTGAAGAGACAGTTCTTCTATATCTCATTGCTCCTATGTTTGACACTTTTCTGTGGTTTCTCCCTTTCGGACAGCATCTGCAGCTCTTTGTCGGCTCCCCGGAGACACTGACATCCGGCGGAGCAGAGCCCACTGTCTCGAGTGATTGATGACCCCAGAATGGAGAGCAGAGATGGACAGATTCCTTTTATCAGGATTGAGGTCTGACTAGATTAAAATGCAGTTGTACAACGCCTCCTCCCCCCTTTTTTGCGTCCCCGTTGGCCTCCTCAGCAACCCCTCTCTATGCGAGTGAGTCACCTCACCTGACGGCTGCCACTTTTTCCCTCATCTTCTCTGCTGACCCCTCATCCCACCTCCCCACTCGAGGGGACATGGTGCGGACGTGGCCCACAGTGCGAGACTTTAACCAGTCACTTCAAAATTGACATGAGGTGTTTTGTTATTTGCTTCTGCAGGAACGTGTGCGAGACAATTCTCAGTGGAGCGGTCCTAACACCATTTGCACAAAGCGTGTTGGTTAAAGAAATGTATGAAATGTGTTGGAACATAAATCACAAGTCACTCTCCGCAGCTAACCACAATCAACTCTTGAAAAAACACGCCGACTGAAGAGGGGAAATTCTGCTTTCTCTTTCTGAGTGCTGATTAAAAGAAAAGAGACAATCACTCTCATTCACTGGCGTGCAGCTGCCTCATTGTTGATGGTGGAGTGGGAGATTTCTGTGGAGGTGCTAAAAAGATGCCTCAGTGAAAAGGGCCTGCGTTTGTTTTTCAGATGGCTCTCTAATGACTGGATGTGATTAACACAAATTATCTCACTTATCACAGCTCAACAGGCTCACACACAGTCTCTGGGTGCTTTCTCTGCTACACTACTTAACATGCATTTAATCAGACTCAGCAGTCACTTCTCCAGACAGCAGCGGGCAGATTTCTCTGCATTTCTGGATATGTATCTAAATGGAATAAAGCTATAGAGTCAGTTTAACGTCAAAGTGTTATCTTCCATGTTAGGCTGAGCTTTGTTTGATGATATTATTTGATCAATGAAATCACTGCAAAAATGCACCTTTGTATACACATGATTCAAACACACTTGCACAAAGGTGTACCCCTAACATATGTTTTGGATTTGTTTTCTGAATACAATTACAATACATAATATTACATTGTGATTATTACAGTTATACACTTAATTGAGCACAAAGTCTTAATATATTTAGGTATATAAAACTTAAATATTCTGCCTTTAGAGAGCAAATAATGATTTGTTTTACCCATGCAGAATAAGAAAAAAAGTAACGAAGTCTAAAACCATAATGACTCCAAGCTATAACAACGAAAATATGAATGCTGAACAATATTTAATGTTTAAATTAAAAGTATCTACTTTAAATGTATTTTTTATATTTCTTACAAACGTCAAAAAAAGACCAAACCCACAATGTGTTGATTCATCTCTTATACTGTACTGACTTCGCTCCCCTGTCTGTCAAACTCGTTTAGATGAGAGGTGATACAAAATAATATAATGACATCACAAGTCCCGCCCTCTCCTTCTCAGCGAACAAATGAGCTATGTCACTTTATTTTTGCGAGATCTCAGCAATAAACTTAGTATGATGTTACCATAACTGATAGAACTGCTGATCAGGGACTATAATCAGCAGCAGGTTAATGTGTGTGTGTGTGTGTGTGTGTGTGTGTGTGTGTGTGTGTGTGTGTGTGTGTGTGTGCATGTGCGTGTGTTTGTGTGTGTGTGTGTGTGTGTGTTCATGGTAATGAAGGAATATGTCACTTAGTGCAACAGTGGATACAAGATACAGAGGCATTCAAAAACACACACTGTTTTTAAGATACACTATCCTTGACTCTTTCTTCTGTAAACATGTCACTGTGTGATGCTGAATGACCTCCATCTGTGTGTGAGATTATATTACATGTTTTATGATGCAGTCATACTGAACTGTACCGTGCAGAGCCATCTGTGTGTGACGCTGCGTTTAAGCTGCTGCCGGCTCTCTGGCCAACCACAGTTTGACCTCGTGACCCCGCAGGCACCGGGGGTCAGCCTGTCACAGCCCCCGGACCGGAAGTCACCGCTGGGACCCAGATGAGGGTTATGGTTATATGGAGGGCCGAGGGTCTTTAGAGAAACATAAAACTGCCAGGGACTTGCAAGGGGGGAAATGAAAAATAGACATGTTAAACGTGCAGGCTGATGTCACACACATGCAGGGGGAAATATGTACCAAAATAAGTTTCATTTGAATGACCCCCCCTTCCCATGTATGTTATTTTGGATGTTTTCCTGACACCTCTCCGTGTCACATAGAGTATCAATTCACACACCTTTTTCTTATTGCAGCAAAGATAAAACTCAGCTAATGAGACAATGGTTTGTGAAAAAAGTGTGTAGTTACAATCGAACAAAATAGATACAAAATGAAGAATGGAAAGTAAGCTGAGTGAAAAAGCTCCTTACCTCTACCCAAATTATTTGGAAACAATATCCATGCTTTCAAAGAAATAAATAGGCTATTTTAATAAAACATTAAAATATAAATGTTGTTTTTTAAAAAGCCCTGTTCAATTTAACCAAGCAGTAAAAAAGACATGAATTTATGTGGCAGATTTCCCTCTCTGAATTGTTTCGCATATATCAAATGTATTGATTAATACATAAAAACGAATATGAGATGTTCACAGGAATAATCTCATCAACAACAAACACATCCGTTCTTATTGTTAATACAGACACACGAAGGATCTGAATGCAGATACATCAATGTATGTTAACATTGACTCTGACCTAAATTTGCTGAAATCTGATTTAATCTGATTTAACACCAAGACCACGTTCCTGCACGTCAACATTTCCTCAAAGCGCTGGATGTGTGTGTGATGATGAAATATCAGAGGTGCTGCTGCTGTAAGGAGTAAGGGGTGTGTGTTTGGGCCAGCATAAATTGTGTTAGCTACTTCATTGAAAGACAATGGAGGACAAGATGTTGTGTGTAGTGTCACCCACGTGCTTCTGCACCACTATTGTCTGCTCTCCATCCCTGGGAGAGAGGAGACGGAGGGGTGAAAGGAGGAGGCGGAGGATGTGGGAGGAGGTGGGTTAGTTGACTGCTCTATATGTGTGTGTGTGTGTGTGTGTGTGTGTGTGTGTGTGTGTGTGTGTGTGTGTGTGTGTGTGTGTGTGTGTGTGCGTGCAGGGAGAAGCACAGACGGCTCGTGGTAATTTGATGTGTGTCCCCGGGGATGTTTGATGGATTAATGCTAAGCAGCTCCCTCTTCCAAAGCACCACCTGATCTTTGGGCTGCTGCCCCACATATAAAAGGCTGCAGAGTGCTGAGCTCAGCTAGTCCTATCTCGCTCTCTCTCTCTCTCTCTCTTTCTCGCTGCCTCTTTCTTCTTCGCCACTTTCTGTCTTCCTCTCCATCCTCCCTGTCCTCTGCTTCCTCTCTCTCTGTCTGCTGCTTTCTCTACATTTCCTCTTTCTCTTTAAATCCTGTACGGGACAGATTTCTTTGTGAAGCTTTTTTCAACCCTCCGCTGTTTGGCCCGCTGAAGAAGGCCGCCTGGAAGCTCTCTACATTTCTGCTCTTCTCTTTTTTCTATCAACATTTTTCTATGTGGCTCTAGCATCAGTTTTGTTCTACTAGGGAAATAAAATGCCACGTTCCTTTTTGGTGAAGCAGCCGAAGGTTCATGATTTCTCGTCTTCCAACTACTACCACCAGCAGCAGTGGGACGACTCTTACACTGTGACACATGCCATCACAGAGTCGGCCACTAACTTGGCAGTGCGTTTGAGTGAAAATGGTGAGTCCCTCTCTGAGTTTTCAACTTTTTGTGTATTTCTGCCGCAGCAGCTACTGATTTCTTCATTTGGAGATGATCCATGTAGTCCTCCACATAAAACTGGAGAAAGATAACCCACAATAACAGACAGAGAATCCTGCAGCGATGTTCATGTTGTTTGCTTTGTTACCTAATCTTTTGGAAATCCCCCAAAAAACCCACATGCATGGCTCGCCCCCCCCTTCCATATGCCACAGGACTTTTGTTTTCTAACTCTACGGATGCTAAATAGTATTCAGGTCACGCTGGCTCAATCTGCTTAATACTCAAACCAGATCACACAGCAGCCTTTAATACTATTGTGTACATGAATGATGCGATATATGAGTGTACACGCGCATTCAATCTGATGCAAGCCTTTGTCAGGTCCAACTAGAAAGGAGGAAAAAAAGACTCTGGAGAAAGCAGATAGCCACATGGGACTGTGTTGTCCTTAGATGGTGCAGTTGCCCTTGAGTCTCTCCTCTCATCATGCAGCCCCCCCCCCCCGTTCATCGCTCCATCTCTCTCCATCTGATCCTGCAGGATGTTAGATAGCCACAGGGAGTAGGATTGCAGCAACACAATCCATATGTGGAGCAGCGAGAGGTGATGGAACAGGGTTTTTAGAAGATGGGTATTGACTGGAAAATAGAGAGTGCTGCAGGTAATTCAATAAAGTGCAACATGAGCAGTGCACTGGCAGACAGGAGATTCTCATCCATGGGATTTCTGGATGTGAGAACGACCCTGTAATACAAGCAATATTGAGTGTGTGTGTGTGTGTGTGTGTGTGTGTGTGTGTGTGTGTGTTTGGCTCTGAGAAACATCCAAAGAAATGTGTGCCTTGAGCGGATTCAACACCCAAAGCCCCCCAAGTACCCCCGCCACGTACCCCCCCCTACCCCCCACCCCCATCACCAACATCACAGATCTTGTGTTCGAGTTGAATCATTTGTCCCCCAGATTTAGGATGCCAGCTGTCTGCTTCCCTTTGTGTTCCAGTGTGTGTGTGTGTGTGTGTGTGTGTGTGTGTGTTTGTGTGTGTGTGTGTGTGTGTGTGTGTGTGTGTGTGTGTGTGTGGGTTGGGGGGAGTGGGCTCAATATACCATTGACTGCTGTCAAGATCAGAGCACCCCCCCCCACCAAAGACACACACCCTGCCCAGCCCTCCCTTCTCTTTTCGCCAAATCGCAGTCCCCCACCTGTCACTCAATCTCCCCCTTTCCATACTCATGAACACTCTAAAAAACGCCACAGATGGGGAATGATCTGATTAAAATGATTTAGTGATTGAGGGGATTTCACTGCTGAGTCGCTCTGTTTGGATCACAGCCCCGCCCCCCCCTGACCCCCCCCCCCCCCCCCCCCCCCCCCCCCCCCCCCCCCCCCCCCCCCAGACGGGCTGCTGGTGCTGCAAAGCGGCGACAGGTGGATCGATCTGGAGCCAAACTATTGCTCTGCTGACTGTTTTGTCAGTGTCAGCACATTGTGTTTGACTCATATTCAGCGTCAATGTGCCTTTCACATTTTTCCCTGTGATAGCACTTGTTGGAGCCAGTGGAGGTATTGATTGGGAAGATGTGTGCACCAAACACTCATTAATATTTAAGTTCCAAAGCTTGCTGAACCTGGCACTTACAAATAGCTTCCTGTGTAGGTTTCAAAGTGATGAGAGGTTAGGGTAAAAGGGGTAACTTTTTCTCAGAGGTTACTAATGGTGCGTTCCAGTTGTACTGGGAAGTGGGAATATCCAAGTTCACAGTGGGAAATTTAAACTGGAACACCCGGAGGCCGGACTTCCTACTTGGAGACTCGAAGACACCTAGCCGTACCCAAGATCATCATCGAAATGGAGTCCCTGCATGAACATTAAGAGAACATGTATTCACACAAATAATAATTATTCTGTGTTATTAGTGTCACATTAAATCAACTGTACATATGGTACTGCTCATGTTCTATCTGTGGATATGTTGCTACGATTTACAAAACAAGCTTATCAACCGGTATGGCTAACCATGGCTAACCCGGTACTGCTAAAGCTCTAAACACGGCTAACTATACTTTCCAGCGGGCGTCCATCTTTCTTCTACTGTAACACAGTCAACTAGGATGTGACTCCCAGTTCCGACCTCCAACTTCCAATGTAAATCGAACGCAGCATATGATCATGAAAATGCTCCCAAAGAAAATTCAAGTCTTTAATTTTATTTTCTTTACCTTTCCCAGGGTACATCCAGGATTACATCATCCCCTCAGTGTTGCAGAGCACAAAGGAGCCGGGTCATGAGCAGCCCTCCCTGCCCCTGTACTCCCCGGGGGGCAGCGCCGGGGAAGAGTTCTCCGACCACGACATGGAGCACCCGGACAGTCCCGTCTCCAGCGGCACCGTGGAGTCAGACAGCAGCAGCGCTGATTTAGAGGCGTGCAGCATCAACGCCTACCTGGTCTCTGACGGCCGCTCCCGCAGGAGGCCCAAGCAGAGGTGTCCCCGCAAGGGAGGCAGCCAATCAGACAGTGGGGATGATGTCAGCTCTGCAGACAGCAGCCCCACCAAAGGGACCTCCACGGGGCGCCACATGTGTGGGGAGTGCGGCAAGTCTTACGCCACGTCTTCCAACCTAAGCAGACACAAGCAGACTCACCGCAGCCTGGACAGCCAGCAGGCCAGGAAGTGCTCCAGCTGCCACAAGGTGTACGTGTCCATGCCTGCGCTGGCCATGCACATGCTAACACACGACCTGAAGCACGAGTGCACGGTGTGTGGCAAAGCCTTCAGTCGGCCCTGGCTCCTGCAGGGCCACATGAGGTCCCACACCGGGGAGAAACCGTTCGCCTGCGCCCACTGCGGCAAAGCCTTCGCCGACCGCTCCAACCTGCGCGCCCACATGCAGACGCACTCGGCCTTCAAACACTACTCCTGCAAACGCTGCCACAAAACCTTCGCACTCAAGTCCTACCTGAACAAGCACTACGAGTCCGCCTGCTTCAAAGGGCTCCAACCAGAGGACGACTGCAGCTCTGAGGACTGATGGGAAAATATTATTTTTATTTTCTATTTATACACTTTTTAATAGTCATACAACAAGGTCAGAGAAAAGCTTGCCACTTCTTAGGCTTGTCACATGCATGCATCATAATCCTGCCTTTTGATATAAGCAATAACCTCACTAAATAAATTATTCAGGAATTATGTATGAAATTCATAAGAATCTGAGTGTTGATCACAAATATAAAATATTTTATATTGTTTTTTATAAATTGAATTGCAATAATTTACATGCCAGTATTATTTGATATGCCAAGTAGCTCTTAATTTACCTCAGACGTATCTTATACATGTAAAAATGTATTTGTATTTATTTATTTACTTATTAATTTATTTGCTTATTTTTAAGATTATTTATTTATTATTGGTTGATGTATTTATGAATTTAACATGGACTTATTATAAGCCATGTATTGGATTTGTTAAAAACAAAGCCTCAATATATTCTGACACTATATTTCTCTGTCTGATCAATTCGGTGATGACAATAAAACTGATGAAAATAAATGATTATTACAACTCCCTCTCTCATGCCTGAATACATGTGAAGATGAAACACATTTATATTTGTATATATTTGAAATATACGACCTGAAGACAGTACAGGTTTTTTTCTGTCCACAGCATCAAGTCTAAAATGTCTTGTTTGTTTGTAGCCTTTATTTAACCAGGTAAAATCCCATTGAGATCAACGATCTCTTTTTCAAGGGAGGCCTGCAACACGTTGGTTACACATAAAAACAACAGAAAACAAAAAGGACATCATACAACATAATTACAGGGGTACAAATAACAACCTATTCACAATGACAGATATCAAATAACATTTCATCTATCCGAGCTTTAAAATGAGCAAGAGAAAATCAAGCACAACTGGAGCGCCCTCCTCTTACATTTTAAGAGGAGGTGCTCTTAAAATGTAGGGCGCTGACCTTTTAAAAAGTTAAGCTAAAAAATAAAATGCAGTACACTGGCTAGCAAAGGATAAATGGACTCCACTTAATATTGCTTTTCTATCTTTATATTCATTTGATACTCATTCGCTTGTTCACAATTGAATGGCAATGGAGCCGTCATTGAACCCAGGATGTGTCGGGACATGCCCGAGGACAACTGGACAGGTCAACAACTGCTCATTTGGATTTTAACTAGGCCTACTATTGTTTGACTTGATATAATCATGAATAAATTACATCAGCCATATACACCATTTACTTGTTAACTAACCTGTGTATGTAACATTACTGGTGGCTAAAGGTAGGGCCTACACAGCTTAATCTTATTTACCTGACCATGGTTTTCTTTTATTTAATCGCCGGCGGTGATCTGGTTGAAGAAAAAAGTAAAAGTAAAGATTCTGGATCCTTTTTATCTGAGTTAGCTTGTTAGCTAACTTTAGCTGTAGAGCTTGCGAGTAGGTCGCTGGACCGGAGCAGCAACAGAACAGCTGACAGCTGACGGACGGCTGCGGCCGCTGAGTTGGGACCAAGCGGCAAACTCTGGGGCAGAGCCGGGAGGCCAATAAGGAAGTGCCACAAACTGCAGTTCATCTATTGGCCGATAGGCGATGACTGCAGAAAGGATCAATTTCCATAGACCCCCATGTTAAAATGCCCAACTTTACAGCAGAAATAAACATGTTTCTGCCCCTGGATGCAATACAAATTATTCGGGATATAGTTAGATTCCATCTTCATGATTATGAATTGTTGAGTGAATTGTTTTATAACGCGACCCTTTTATTTATATTAGGTCTTAACGTTTTTGCATAAATTAGTGCGTGGTTACTTTGATGGACAGGTACGTGCCTCACTGTCAGCTAACAGCAACTTGTCCACTCTGCTAGGCTACAACGTTAGTTAGTTGTAGTTACTGTACTTGATATATATACAGTTTAGTTTATGATTCAGCCTTGGGTAAGACTTTTATAGTCTATGGCTATGCTATGCCATAATGCTAAACGGGAGCAAATGTTAAAAGGGGATCCAATTATCCCAGTGGTGGCCGCTGGAGTCCGCCGGCTGGAGCTAGCCCCCTGCGGCTCCGTTAGCGCCAGCCGGCGTCCCGGCGGCGGAGTTCGTTCGGCGGCGGAGTCCGGCGGCGGAGTCCGGCGTTATAACTGGAGATCAAGGAATGCAGCGAAACGCGGACTTGGTTCACCTGCAGCCCGCTGTAGTATTAGCTAAAGAAATTGTGTTGAACAAGGCTTATTAAGCTGAACATCGCCACAATTGTTCTGCTATGTATCGGTAGCCTACTTATTTCATTTTTTATTAACGTGTGAATGACAAGCATTAAGAATAGCAAAAAATAGCTAATTCTCTTGCAGATTGTCTCGTTTGATTATGAATGTAACGTTTATATAGTGGAACTACACTGTTTTATCAAAACCAAAGTGCCACGCAGTAACTTGGTATGCATGTATTTCAGCAGGAAATGTGCAGATGACATTTACCAACACAGACTATATAGAAATATTTGTAAAAGTTGTTAATGCGTTATTAAGTGAATATGGCATTAAAACACCTATGCTTTTTGACTCTCAAATGTTTACATTTCAGCATTGCATCATTAATTTAAGTTCTATGCTTTGCTTGTTAAGCAGTCTGTAACCCTACACACCTAACATATAACTTTTCATGTATTTTTGTATAAAGGTTTCCTTTAGCTTAGCTTCTTAGCCTAAGCTAGCTCTGGAACTTCCAGCTCGGTGGCAGCAGGTCCCGCCTCGGCTCCGCCTCTTTGCCCTTATTTGGAGCAGGCGGGAGTTAGACTCTGACGTCACTGTCGAGACGTTAGTGGCCGACTCCGCCTACTAAGGGCTTCTCGGCAACTCTGCAGAATCCTATGGGTGACGTCACGGACACTATGTCCATTTATATATACAGTCTATGGTTGGGACACAGCTTACGCTTTCGTCCGGCTTTAAATTCAAACACTTATTCGGTCTCTGTCTGTCGGGTCAAATCTAACTTTGTTAACCGTTTCTGCATTTGCAGCGTCTTTCTGTTTTATTTTTTATTTTTACAGGTTTTGTGTGTTTTATTTCTGTATTTGCAGAGTGTTGCTGCTTATGTTTGTGTTTTGGGCTGATGTGGCGCGCTTGCAGGAGTCGGCCTACGTACAGACCAGTGCGAAAAACTGTGTTAATTTAAATCAGACATTGCTTCACAACCAAAGATAAATTGAAGCAATTTTTCACAATTACTTCACACATTGGCTTGAATTTGGAAAGACACGTCTGTTATTCAGAGTATAATTTTCATATAGCTCTAATACCCAGTGCGAACACTTGAATCTCTAATTCTAATTTTAAGATCCTAAAAGTTTCAAAATGGGCCTAAAGCTTAATCCAGAGTTATTTTCCCTCTCCATTCATTTGACTGAGCCGAGTCCGGACGTGACAGAGCAAATTGATGGCAGGGCTTTAGGAAAATGAAAGGGTGCATGCTCTATGGGCCCAATGGATGCTGAAGATTCCCTGTAGAACCCTGTAAGATCAGGGTACTTTTGTTCTCCAGATTCAGGCCATTTTGTCTTCATGCACCACTGAGCCCTGCCTCCAACGCTGTTCCCAGTACTCTCTATACATCAACGATATACCCTCCAACCCTTCGCTCCACTCTGCCTGTGTCAGTCCCGGATATAGTGTTAGAATATGCATCGTGAAGACAGACACAGGCTTGTTTACTTCATCGATTAAATTAAAGGAACGATCCATGAGTCTAGGAGAACTACTACACTTTAGGAACCGATAAAACAGAACCCAAATTATTTATTTTTTGTCCTTTTACCTGGTACTTGCCACAGGGGATTTGATACTGATTTGGACCATTGTGGTTCCCAACCCTGGGAACAACCAATCTTACATCATCAATATGCCAAAATACTAGAAATGTATATACTTGTGTAAAGAAACACAGCTGCAGTGATAACATGACAAGGTGTCAGATCTAGAGAAGGTTAACTGCTTTTGGATGAGCGGCTTGGCTGAGGAAGAAAAAAAGTCCACGAGCCGACGGCAGCTAGCTGTCTACATCCACGTCATTAATCAATGCTGTTAAAGTAAGACGAAGTTCATCTGTCTTACTTGCTCTTTGAAAAAAGAATTATGAATTACCTTTTACTCAATATAATTTATGTAATTGTTAACATTATGTTATTTAAAACATTTTCAAACTAAATGCCCTAACAAACCAAGTTGGCCGTTGGTAAAAGGATCTGTGATTGGCTGTGTGTCTGTCCATTTATTGATCATTGACGGGATGAGAGCGGACCTTCAGTTGGTGGCTTTAGCTTCTTAAATTAAGCGAGTGTAAACCAAGCTTCAATTTTCTAAAGCCACTTCTGATGGTCCGTGTCCATAAAGTCGTTTTCAAGTGGCCCAGGAAAAACAACAGACGCAGGGGGCATTGGCTTTTTGCAGATTTCTAAGCAGTTTTTTAATTTTAATTATAATATTAAGATTTCATTTTTTAGATCTAATATTTAGAATTAGATTTAACATTTAAAATATATGTGTCCCATGAGAGAAAGCTAAGGTTTATCTTCCAGTCACTTGAAATCAACCGCAGTGGAGAACTCTGAATAACACAGCAGGATGTAAATAATGGATATTGTAAATAATGCCGTAATATTTAGTTAATCACAGTTAATTCACTGGTACGCTGATCTTTGTGCGACACAATCATAGCTTAGCATGTTGTGCTACTTTATCACCTGAAGTCATCTGCAGTTCTTCTCCTGACCAGCAGAGGGAACCAAGCTCTGAACCCCTGTCATGCTCAGTCAGGAGGACTACAGGATAAATGTGTTGGTCAGAACAGCCTGAAACATCTGAAACACCACATCAGGGGGTGTCAGCTGAATCCAGCAGCACCCAGCCTCCAGCTGTCCTCCACCCAGCCTGCCATGTTAGGAGATTCCTCCACAGCACCGCGCTGCAGCCGGACCACAGGATGTGCTCCGGGTCAGGTGTCATGAGAACTGGGCTGCTAGTCCAGACCAGACAGGGCTGGAGACCGAGGCCACCAAGGACTCATGGGAAATGCAAGTATGTGTCTCAGTAGACCGCAGACTGGAGATGGCTATTTTCAGACACAATGGCCACCATTCAAAACACATA